ACGCAACTATATATCACTCTTGTGTTTTATCCCTCAAATTATGGACCTCGCTGCCGATTGAGATTTTGTTCACCACCAACTATTTTTATGGACCACCGCGGCCCGCCACCAACTATTCACACAGCGCTCAATCAATTTCGCAGCCAGAGTTTACATCATGTAAATATCATCAAAATTACCAATCAATGGTGAATATGAGACCCAAAAAAGAGTTGATTTGGTAGTCGTCTGTGATGGGATACTCTGATGGTGGGAAGAATGATTTTATGAGGCGATGGTTGTCACATATACTGGCGGCCTGGAGATGGGTTGATTGGTTTGGTGATAATTCGATTCCCTGTGGTCATTATTATTATTATTATTAAAACTTCAACACATGGTAGTGTTTTATTGGGCCACCTCATCGTAAGAAGGAGGTTCCTTCTTATACGGCCTAAGGCAAGCATTGTTCTTTTTATAATTTACTGTTATTATTAAGGTTAAAAGAGTATTTGTATTCGATGAGTACAATATTGACATTTAATAATTTTAAGCAATGACTCAAGGGGTAAGTTTACGTTTTTAAAATAGTCAATGTGTTATTTTTTTGCAATATTAACAATTTAAATTTCACATATAAAAAGTAAATAATTACATAACTGTGGATTCAGTAAAGATAAATTAGGTAATTTATTCACTACTAATATAATACAAAATAATAAAAATTATTCTATTAAAAAATTAAATTATCAATAGGCCCGTGGTCTAGCGAAACCAGATCCCTAATTCCCAAAATGATGTCAATGGTTTGAGCCTCAATGAAGGCATATATGCAACTACCAACTAAAAAAAAAAATTAGGGTATGCTTGATTTGTAACTCTAAAAATAATTTTTAGAGAATAATAAAATACAGTTATCTAAAAACATGTCTTTTTATAATTGAACCAAGCAATACTGTTCTAAGAATTACAAACTAAGCAAATCCTTATATTCTAAAAAAATACTTTTATTTTAAAATGAATAGAGTATATAATTTATCAGTTGCTAAAAACGAAGTCATTAAAATTTAAGTGTTAATGAGGATGGAAGTAGGTATTCAAAGTTTCAAACCATCTACAATGATTGATTTAAATTTTAAACTTTGGCTTGAGCTCAAGGGAGATCAAGGAATTGTCAATGGGATACTGTAATACTTCTTTGTTTTTTTTGAGGCTGGGCTAAAATTGTCGTAAAAATTTTTATTTTTTATTTTTTTGGTGTGGCCTCAAGCCCACCAGAATCCACTCCTAGTCTCCTACGTCCGCCCTTGTTGAGCTCATCCAAGGCCCCATATTTTAAAAAAAAATGAAAATTAATATTTATACTTTACCATGTGTAAAGTATAAATATTAATAATGAGATCAATCTGCACCCGAAGACCAAGACTGAGGAGTGAGGACCTGTAACAACCATCATTTTTATAATGGGGTATTACGTATAGATTTTTTGTACATGGTTAAGTACGTGGTTTAACCATATTATTTGGTATTATTTGGTACTTTAGGTTAAGTGGAGTTACGCTAGTGGTAAGACGATTGTTTGTGGATTTAAGTTTTAAATGTGGATTAGGATATGTGATACGTGTTGCATCACGTTATAAAATTGTGAGAATTAGTCTACGACTAAACGAAGTTCAGTAACTCTCTAACCGAAAGATTTTATTTAGATTTAAAACTATATTTACTTGGGAATGGAAAAGGATTTTATTTTCGGAATTACAAATAACAATTGTAGAGAGGAAGAAGGTTTTATGGTCAGAGAGAATTACGAGGAAGAATTATAGAGGAAAATTGAAAGAGGCGGTTGTGTTGGATCATGAAGTGTTAGCAGAAGTTTAATCGGCAAGTTACTTTTAGCTCTCTCTTATACATATCATATTTATGAATTCATCAACTGTGATCTATTAGGTAGTTAAATTATTGGATCGATGTATTGTGTAGTGTGTTTTTTTTTATATTGATACAGATATTAAACATTAATGGTTGGAATTCTAATTGGGTTAATCTGTAGTACATAAAACTGTCTGTGATCTATTGTGTAGTATCTAATCGCGGGGTTTATGAGGTATTAGTCGATGATCCGGATTCTATGTTAAACACTTGCCGTCATCCAACTAGTTTCTTGAAGGGACTATGAATATATATATACAACCTTAGTAATCTGGACTCATATAATACTATTGGAGTACTTCAAAAGTTATGGAATTGTAAATAATATTTAGAATATATTTAAATATTATTATTTGATTTTTGACCATTGGAGTATTTCAATTTATCGATATTGGGAATATGAGTTTGGTACTTGATGATGGGAAATTAAAGTTATTACTAGACTACTAGAAGGTTTGAGGTATAGTCGATACATGATAAAGTCACTATTAGTTAATAGATCACTATACAACACACCGTCAGGTATATATATAACCTTTTTATTTTGGGCTGGTTAATGAAAGCAAACTTTAACTTACGGTGCAGTTGAGTAAACTAAATTATAGTGTTGAGATAGATAAAATATTATATGAAGTTTTATATTTTGATTTGTGTACAAACTTGGACTAATGGATGGGTTCGTTTTACTCAATGTGTTACAGACTTGATGGGGATGTGTTCCCTAAATTTTTGAAGGTGTTCCACTATTAAACTGGATGACTTCCTTATTTATGGAATGTGTTCTTTTCATTATTATGAGATGTGTTTCATAAGTATCTTGTACCAAGTAAGGTTAATTACTGAATGGGTTAATCAAGAGGACTAGCATATAATCCAGATTTAGAACTTTATGAGATATTACCACTAGTATTTCTAATTTTTACTATGGTTACAATGTCAATGTAATTAAAATGCATTACTATAAGGAGAGGGTATGGGTTAACTTGTTGAGCAAGGATCTTGCTAAGCATGCTGAGCTTTTGAGCTCACTTCATTCTTATCATTTCAGGTACTTGGTGGTTGTAGAGTTGGCGTTGAGGACCAGAGCAATTCAGAGTTTCTTTTTTTTTTTTTCGTAGTTGTGAGAATTTTTATTTTGAGGACTTAATGTAACTTCATGTTGATTTGAGTACTGTATTTTGGAATGATTTTTAGTTCACACCCATTTTGAGTATTGTTGTCAGATGTATTTGTATTCGAATTTTGGGGCGTGACAGATTGGTATCAGAGCTAGTACCCAGCTGGAAGTGCGGTGATAGTGACGATGTAGACGGTATGAGTGGGTAGGTGAGGTGCACTGGCAATCTACCATACTTGGAAATAGGTCATAGTATCCCACACCACCGGGGAGAAATGGTGTTTATATGGCAACAAGATAATTATAAATTTCGAGGAAGAAATTTCTTAAGGGGTGGAGAATGTGACAACTCATATTTTATTTAGACTCTTAAGTATAATTAATTGTTTGATTAATTATATTGGAGACTTTACTATAGTAATTAGGAGTTTTATTTCATTTTTGGAGATGGTTATAGATTTGATTATATGAGAATTAATGAGTTAAATTTGAGGCCTTTTGGGATAAAGCCCAAGAGCAAAACCATGCAGGCTCAGGCCCAAAGCGGACAATATCATACCATGTGGTGGAGTGGGTCGTTACAGGACTCGACGCATGAGTAAGAGGATAAGGATTTGACATATTGGGTCCGACTGCTTTAGCAAAAGTACTTTTAATAAAATTACTTTCCTTTTGTGGCTTCTATAAAGCTACTTTACCTATATGAAAACTTTGGATGTTAGGTCACAATGGAAACGACTTATGGGAGAAATTTTTATAGAGATGTTAGGTCACAACAGAGATGTTAGGTCGGAATAATTTCTTAAATTTTTGCAATGAATACCGTTTTTTATCATTATTATTTTTAAAAAATTATTCTTGCACAGATTTGTTACAGTGAATTGTCAGATCTAATTTTTTTAATTGGTCCATCTATAAAACAAATAAGAAAATAAGTTCCTCCACTTACTTGTACTATGCATAAATAATCAATCAAAAATATTGATAATTTATTAAACTATTCACACACATTGTACATATTGCTTCTCACCTCTCTTTGAAGAAGAAGAAGAGGCTATGGCATTCGACTAATGAATGGTCGTTATACTTGGACGCCTTTTGCGCACTGTCTTTTAGCTTTCAAACAATGAATACCGCGAATTATTTGCACATCTTTAAATCCATTTTGGATGTGTCATGTGTTGAAGAAACAACCCCACACAATTGTTGTTTTGGGCTACTATGTTTCCCGTCTAAGTGTAAATAGGTTGGTCAAAAAACAAATTTTGACTTATTCATATACACACACACACACACACACACACACACACACACACACGAAGACCAAGTAATTTCTAAAAAGATTATAAACAAATTCAATATACAATAAATTAAGATTTGAAATTATAGAACATAAAAAAGAAAACTAGAATTAGGGTTTAGGTTGTTCACATCAACCCAAACCCAACCCGAATTGTAAAAATACTTGTCTAAACTCGTGAAAAATCAGGTTGAGCTTAGGATAGATTTGGGTCAATCCGTCCAAATTCCACCCATATGCAAATGAAAGGATGGTTAGACACGGAGATTTTTTGCTTTTGGGTACTAAAATACAAATTCAATAAATAAATAAATTTATAATATAATTACAAAGGCCTTGTGGCTACTCTCCCATTCTCGCCCCTATAACCATTTAACCATGCTCATAATCATTCCAACAGGATAGGGTGGGAAGGATACCCAATGGGACAAAATATTTTCCCATACCTACTTGTGCCTATAGCCCTATGAGGCTTGAAACATTTTTTATTTATTTATAAAATACTTCATAAAAATGCACATATTAGATAATTGCCTCAATGAACAATCCAAGGCAAACACAAAATAATGGTAGGCTCCAACTTTCGAATAATGGTTTAATGACCCCACCATTGACTAATATTGAGTCAATGACTAATAGATAGTAGTCTTCGTCTTCCTTTTTCATTCTTCCAAAAGCACACCCACAGAGAATGATTATTTAATTGGTGATTGCCTCAATGATCAATCCAGCCTACTTAAATGACTAATAAATGACTAATAGATAGTAGTCTTCTTCTTCTTTCTATCCCTCCAATCTTCCAAAAAACAGAGAGAGAATGGTTATTCAATTGGTGCTGCAAATCGCACTATTGTTATGGCTAACACAAGCATCATCAGCATTAGCAGCATCACTAGCAAAGCCTGGTTGTCCAGACAAATGTGGAAATATTACCATTCCATACCCATTTGGTATTGGAGCCAATTGTTTTGTTGCTAGTAATGAGTCGCGTTACTCGTTTGAGATAATCTGCAACAAATCTTTCACCCCACCCAAACCATTCATCACTAGCACGAACCTTGAGGTGCTTGAAATATCATTAACAGAAGGCACTGTTCGTGTCAACAACCCGGTAATCACTTTTAATTGTGATAACAGGGTTAATCATCAAGTTGTGGACTTGAACCCTACTCCTTTTTTCTTCTCAGACACCTACACCCGATTTACAGCTATGGGTTGTGACAACCTCGCCTTAATCGACTATGGAGGAATGGCCATAGGGGGCGTGTCCAACTGCAATGTTACTGCAAGAGAAAAAAGATGCTTTGGCATCAACTGCTGCCAAACCACAATCCCTCCATCACTAGACTTTTTCAATGCATCTTTCAGAAGCATAGATTCAAACAATGATAATAAAGGGTGCAAATATGCCTTTATGGTGGACCAAGATTGGTTCACTAACCTGACCGATCCCTATGCCGTGCGGGAAATGAAGGTGGTCCCTGCTGTGCTGCGTTGGGGTACATATGAGGTGTGCCATTCATTCATTGGCTACAAGTCTAGTAGTTCATTATGCGGCACTAATGCTTCCTGTTTCAATCGAACTTACGGAGGTAGTAGCCTATGCCAATGTCACCACGGTTATGAAGGAAACCCGTATTTGCTTCATGGATGCCAAGGTAAAGTTCTGCAATACTTGAGTTTATCTTCATCACCAAGAACAGCAAACACCGATAACCACTTGTCTGTATTAAATTTTAGGATAAATTACACTGACCTCTCCTGAAATTTGAGAAAACCAACAGGCAATTCAGATGCAGCAGTCAGGAGCAGATACTCCAACTCTTCACGAGATGGTGAAGGTGATCATGAAGGTGGAAGTGGAAATTATGTTGCTGATGATTCTGATGAATGTAGGGATTGAGATGATGAATGATGTTAGAGGGAGAAAGAAGTGGATGAGAGAAGATTTTAGAGAAGTAAAAATAGGTAAGAAGATGTTAGATTTTAGGGTTTAGGAAAGGAAGAGGAAGCCGACGGCAGCGTTGGCAAAGGAGTGGGTGGGGAAAATAGAACAAGTTGAAGGGAGAAATAGATTAGTATTAATTTATTTAAATATAATAAATTTGTATGTCTATTATATATATATATAATTAATTCAATTTAATTAGCAAAAAAAACTATAATTTTTTTGGGTAAAGTCCATACAATTACTCAGGTATATGAGTATATATATATATATATGCATTGATGTAGATTACATAGAATTGTAAGGTAATTAATGTCTTCTTGCATGATATTAGGGTAGTTTAGGTACTATATAAATATTTTTAACTATTTTTATTAGTCAAATGATAGAAGGGTGGTTGAGCACACACACCAAAAGGTGATCAAAGTAATAATTAATAAACTTCAGATGCTCTATTAGCATGTAATTTGACAAATTAAGCCATAGGAGATAAAGTGTAATTTATTCTATTAGCTCAACAAATTAATGTCTTCTTGCATAGTAAAAGGGTAATTTAGCTATTATATAAATAATTTTTAATGATCCTAACAAATAATTAATTGGTGGGAGGGATTGTTCAGCACACACACCAAACCTTAAAGGAGGTCAAAGAAATAAACTCCAAATGCTCTATTGGCGTGTAATTCGACAAAATCACGGGGGATACGTGTAATTTACCCTAATTTTAACAATATGTACACAAGTTATAATCAATTGTCACTTTTCTGTGTATGTCTCTACTACTCTATATGAAGTCATGTGCAGGTGCGTAGATAAATATGTTCATAACTTATCGCCTGGAAGTTACAAGTGCCATTGTCCACCTGGGTATGCTGGTGGATATAGTTGCTATGAACTCAAGGTTATTGAACCCAAGCAAAACAGAAAAGTGATCATTATTCTAGGTATGTCCTTTCCACTCCGGGGCAAACACACACTCAGATAACAAAGCACATATTTGGAGGTATTGATTATTGCTTAATCAGAATAATCAATACAATTGATCGATTCAGTTTGAGTCCATATAAAAAGGAACAAAATTTTAAACCAAACTGACGAAAAAAAAAAAAAAAAAAAACTAGAAATTTTAATCAGTCAATATGATTTTTTTAACACAAATAGGACTCAACTTTGCAAACCTTGAATCCCTTCTGACAGTACAACTACTATAGGAAACATGGTAGCAATTATGTAGCTCTGAAAAGTAACCAAATGGCCTAGAATCAAATTTGTGGACCAATAGCTTCAATTCAAAGTCAAGCTTAATTCAATATGGCTAATTTAATTCAGTAGAGTTGGTTCCTAATTTCTGTCGGCAATTTTAATCGGATAGTTCTACGCTCACAAAAAAACTACTATGTAGCAAGGATATAGTCCAATTGTAGGACTCTAACCATACAACTGGCTAAATTTTATTTAAACACTAGAATACTGGGAAAGGACTTGTCTTTCTTATGGGAATAGATGGGATATGAACCAACCTAGGAAATATTAGCAGATATACAAGTATTTTTTCACTCAATCATAAAATTGTTAGGTTGAAAAGGTGATTCTTTCCTATTGAGTTTTGTAGGAGCTGGAATAGGTCTCGTAATACTATTTTTAATTGGCACATGGTGGATGATTAAACTAGTGAAAAGAAGAAGGAAAATAAAGCTCCAGCAAAAATTCTTTAAACGAAATGGGGGTTTGTTACTACAACAACAATTGTCTTCAGGTGAAGGTAATGCTGATAAAACCAAACTCTTCTCTTCAAAGGAGTTGGAAATAGCCACTGACAACTTTAATGAGAATCGAATACTAGGGCAAGGAGGCCAAGGTACTGTTTACAAAGGCATGTTAATAGATGGTAAGATTGTAGCGGTTAAGAAGTCCAAAATAGTGGATGAAGGCCAACTTGAGCAATTTATTAATGAGGTGGTCATTTTATCACAAATTATCCATAGAAATATAGTCAAGCTACATGAATGTTGTTTGGAGACTGAAGTACCTTTGCTAGTTTATGAATTCATCCCTAATGGAACTCTTTTCCAGTATATCCATGACCAAAATGAAGAGTTCCCTCTTTCCTGGGACATTCGTGTTCGGATTGCTATAGAAGTTGCAGGAGCTCTTTCCTATCTACACTCAGCAGCTTCCATACCCATTTATCATCGAGACATCAAGTCTGCAAACATATTGTTGGATGATAAATACAGAGCAAAAGTGTCCGACTTTAGGACTTCAAGATCAATTGCAGGTGATCAAACTCACTTGACCACAAAAGTACAAGGGACCTTTGGATACTTGGATCCTGAGTACTTCCAATCAAGCCAGTTTACCGAGAAAAGTGATGTTTATAGCTTTGGAGTAGTTCTTGTTGAGCTTTTAACAGGACAAAAGGCGATCTCATCAGCCAGATCTGAAGAATGGCGAAGTTTAGCAGCATATTTCATATTAATGATGAAGGAGAATCGTCTGTTTGATATTCTTGATGCTCAAGTTGTGAAAGAAGGTGGGAAAGAAGAGATCATGCGAGTCGCTAATCTTGCAAAACGATGCTTGAACTTGAATGGGAGAAAAAGACCTACAATGAAAGAGGTTGTAACAGAGTTAGAAGGGATTAGAATGCCATATGGAGCATCCACTGTTCAACAAAACTATGAAGAGGTTGAATTTACAGTAGTTGACCTCACTGGACCTTGGGATGCTGCTTCAACTTCGACAAGTTTTTATAAAGATAGTAGTGTATCATCATCGTCAGATGTCCAATACCTATTATAAAAGTAAATATAGTGGTTAAGGTTTTGTTTTTTTCTGTATATTACATATCCTTGTTTGAATAGTAGTGTATAAGCATCGAAATATGTTCCTACTTCTGGTGTTTAAGAAATCACGATCAGCAAGAAAATTTTACTTTCCTCTATATTATTTTCCATCTTGTGTAAGCTAATCATGATGAGAAAAATGCTTAACATATGTTTCTTTGAAGTATTTATGGATATCATTTTGTATCTATATTTGAATTCTATACAATGCTTTTTTTTTTATTAGTTGTATATGATACATCTATTCTATTGTTTTCTGGTTTTCTAGCTGAGTTCTGTCCATTCTCAATAAGAAATATTGATGCATTCTTTTATACAGTCGACACAATACATATGCACCAAAATTTACTTGTTCAATATCAACCACCCAAAGGTGATGGCCCAAAGACATGCTCCATTTGGCTATCTCTAAGGAGAAATATATATATATATATATATATATATATATATATATTATGATAATTAATAACTCATCGAGATCTTCACCCTCAAATCAGACAAACAAAGAAGGGAATCCTTTTGAGTTCTGCTTTCATTTATCTATGTTTATTTTTCTGTCAAATGATTATTATTAAGCTGCTCCCTAGGCCCTTATATATCAGCAAGAGATAGGTGATACAAATGATTAAATGGAGAAAATCAACATCTATTCCAAGAAACACTCTTCCATAACACTTCAGCCAAAAATGATCCTATGCCAAAAAATAGGACATGTTCCAACTCAATTTACAAAATTATGGAGAATGACAAAGTTTAGATCCATTATTGTGAACTTGCTGAAGATTCAGTCAAGAATTGAACAAGTCAACATTCTAAAAACTGAATCTTAAATTCCCATTAAAATCTTAGGGCAATTCAAAAATACATTCAAATTCAGTTACAATTGTGATCCATACATGCATATAAATATATAACACATAAATTTCTTCAAACAGCATGATTTTTTATCTAAAGAGATGAAATATAAACCCAAAAACAGTTGTAAACATACAATTAATGGTTCCAAAGAGATATTGATAAAATTAGCTGCTGATTTCTTACTAACCTTTAAAAAGTATAGTTGTATTAACTAGAACAGAACTCAAAAGTTAGAGGTAAAACTGAATGCAAAAGGAAGATGAGAGAAAAGAGATAATTTACACCAAAATTTTTTTTGGACCATGTCATCCTTTGAGAAATATTTTCCTGTACTTTGTTACATTGGGCGCATCTAACCTGTTGGGGAAACGGAAGTTTTTAAAACTTTATAAGGTCTTTTCAAATAGAAATCTTCATTCATGTGTAGAGATGAGTTTTATGCATGAAAAATATGATGATCCATTCAATTTAAGGATAGAAAACTTACATCATGATTTAAGTAAACCTTAAATCTCTTCTCTAAAGTGAATGTTCTCACTTATTATAGATCCATTTCCTATATGCATCTTGCTTGGATCTCCATCTTCTTAGTAATGATCTTGCCTTTAGGAATCACCCATAAGCCTCCATGATTGACCTTGGAGAGCTAAACTTGTGGGAGCCTGCATTAGATGGGAACACGAACCCTAAAATCTTAAAAAGAGAAATACTTTATTGTCTTCTAAAAATTATTACACAAAGGCATAACTTAAAATATACATGGACCCCATATATATATAGGCAAAATAAAAATAATAATTAAAGACATTATATTTTTCTCAATCCCTAAAAGTAACGTGATATCTCAAATCTAATTGGATTCCAATATCAAGTTGGGCTATGAGTGAGAATTCTTTGGGCTTATTATTTTCTTGGCTACAATGAATTAATAATTGGCCCGATCCATGGACCTAATTCAATTAATTCATAAATTAATTTCTACTCTACTAAAAGAATTTAATTGAACTCCAATAAAATAATAAATAACCTCTAAGTCAATGTTGCATTTTGACCCCTCTATGCATAATTAGTTTTCGGATAAATAAAGCCATCAATCCGACTACTAAATTAATATATTTATTTTGGTACCTTTAATTATTTTCGGTTTGATCACAATAAAATATTTGTTTGACAAAAATAATAATTTAAATAAATAAATATATAGAAAATCATTTTGTCTAAAAATACACGAAGGCCTTCGAATTTACTTTGTGATCAACCATAATCAATACAAAATAAATACAAGTAGCAATGATGCAAATATTGAAAATATAACCCTCTAACTATTAATTGCATAATTACCCAAAGTGCCGGTTTATGAATTCTGAAGATTCCGCTGAACAAATCAAAGTAATTACTAATTAATAAAAGAGCCTATACTTCTCTTATGCTTAAGAGTCAAATGCCATGACAGTGATAGGGAGCAATTGCATACGACGGTTCTTACAATATATCTCAACCTAACGCGAATCTAGTTCAAGTCTTAGTTAATAATGAGTTCATCCATAATTATCGACTATGAACTATTTATGATTACTACATGTATTGATTGCCATCACATGCATATATAAATATCTCTTGTAATCAAATGGACACTATCAATTCCATAATGAATCGAAATATAATACATTGAATTTACCAATTGTATAAAGTATAAATATTTCAGATATGTTAGGAATATATGTCACTTTAATCTAAATAGGAATTTGCTATGCTAGGGCATATAAATCCCAACAGCTCCTACTTGTCCTCAAAGCCAATTCGAATTGCATCTAACTCCAATGTTATCCAGGTGACGATCAAAACTATTGATCGATGACACATTTGTTAATGGATCAACAAAGTTATGTTCTAATGCAATATTCTAGCTATGAGTACATTTTCTTGTCAGACAATATCATGTAGGACATGATACTTCTTCTCAGTGTATCTTGTTCCTCTATGGAACCTTGGGTCATTGGTTTGGACTACTTTTGCACTATTATCGTAATATAACTTGATAGGCAGGCTGGTATGCTCCATAACCTCTAAATTAGTGAGATCAAACCAAAAGGCTTCCTTTGCTACCTTTAAGGCTGCAATGTACTCCACCTTCAGGTTTGAGTCAGCAGTTGAAATCTGCTTAACGATCTACCAACTGATTTCCCTTTAATTAAGTGAACATATAGCAAGTCATGAACCTCATAGTATTTACATCTTATTGAAAATCATAACTAGCATACCCGACTAGGACCACACCATTATATCTATAAATGAGTATGAGATTATTGGTTTTCCTAAGATACTTTATGATATTTTTCACAACAGACCAATTATCAAGTCTAGGATTGGACTGATATTTACTGACTATCCCTACATTGTAGGGGGTGTCCTGTTTGGTATAGACCATGGCATATATGAGGATCTTACATTTCGAAGCATAATATTTCACTCTCATTTGCTCAATCTCCTCTGCTAGTCTTGAAAACTACTTACTAGAGAGAACAATCCATGTCAATAAAGCAAGAACTCATTCTTTGAGTTTTGCATACCAACCTAGTCTAAACTTTATCAATGTAGGATTGTTAAAATAAGCCTATTTTCCTTTTAACCTGATCTTGCAAAAGCTTGATTATAGGAATATAACTTACATCTTAAAGATATTCCATTTCAAAGTAATTGAGCAACTACCTCTTTAATGATGACAAAGCTTCCACGTCATTATAAATGAGTAGGATATCATCAATAGAATTAGAAAAATAATGACGTTACCCTGTACACATATGGTTCATTCACTAAGAAATCTTCTAGTATGCTCTTGTAGATTAACTTATCATAGGTATCATCCTACCAAAAAGTTCTACAAGATCCTAGATTTTATTAGAATACATAAATTCCAACTCTGATTTCATAGCAACATACCAAAACGATCTGTATTCATATCGGTTCACACTTTCATGTAGCTTACTGGGTCCAACTTATGTTTAACAGTTATGTCCATAAAGGTCTCACCTAAAAACATGATTCTGTCGGATTGGATGATAATCCTCTCATTACAACTATGTACCGATGCAAGAATCTATGTACTAGATGATGCCGACGCATCAATAGGGAATTCATATATAATTCTTAATCTCTATAATAAGTGTGTTCAAATGTGGTACATCTGGTACTCATACCATATTCTCTAACATTATGCTATTAGGTATGTGATTCATAATATGATCCTCCTATAGAAAAACAGTGAGTGTAAACAATTAACTTTTATCATTGAAATCATAAAATAATCCATCCTAGTGCCTTTAGAGTAGCAATCAAATCAAACATACCTATAATCTGTTTCCAACTTACTTGTTCATATCAAGCGCACATGTGCAAGACTACCCCATATGTGCATGTGATTCAAACTAAAATTTAGTCAAAAACACAGCTCAAAAGGTATCCTTGAGACCGACTAAGATGGAATGTAGTTTATAATGTGCGTTGATAACGTCAAGGCTAAACTCTAAAATGAAAGAGATAATGTAGCATAACTGATCATAGATTTAACTATGTTAAGCAGAATTCTGTTATTCCTATTTGAAACCTTAATTCATTAAGCGTCAATTGCGGAAAACTGGTACACTATACCCTCATTGACCATATAGTCTTTGCACTATCCCAAGAAATACTTATATCCACGATTAAATTGAAGTGTTTTGATAAGTTTACCTAATCTGTACTCCACATCAATCTTGACACTCTCAGAATATACCAAAAGTTTAAGACTTGTGTTGCATCAGGTAAATTTATTCAAAACATGAGTAATCTTGCTTGGATGTTTTGAAGACCACACGTGTCAGTGTGTACCGACTCCAATTGTTCTTTATGTCTATTTCATTTGGCTAATTAAAGCCCTTAAAGTTATCTATTCTTCAAAACAAAATTCACAAGTTAGTTTAGGCTCCCTTGCCTCACTAGGTAATAAACCTTCTTTGACCAATCTTTAAATCTCATTTTGACTGATTATAATCCAATAATAGACATTAAAAATACAATGAGTCAGGAGTAACTGTAACGACCCACTCCACCACATGGTATGATATTGTCCGCTTTGTGGCTGAGGTCGCACAGTTTTGCTGTTGGGTTTCACCCCAAAAGGCCTCATACCAATTGGAGTGACACACCTACATATAAGCAATTCACCTTTCCCTTTCCCATTCCCAGGCGATGTCAGATTGTGTACACGTAGCTC